CAGTGTCACATTCCATGTATGCGGTCTACAATATGTGATTACCTCGCACAAGCAAAACGATAGGGCGCAAATGCAAGCCCACATCACCAACAATCATACATCTTGCCGCCGGGAACACTTTGGGTTAAGGGATACTGACGACCCTTGTGCACAGCGACATCGCCCTGCCTCACATGCATCAAGCGATAGGGCGCAGTGCAAGCCCACATCACCACCAATCATACATCTAGCCGCTGGAAACCCTCTGGGCTGGCGATTCTCGCAACCCTCGTGCACAAAAACATCACCCGCCATGTGCATCAGCACGAAATAGCTAGCAGCAAGTCAAACTTGCAACAAGAACGCAGACTTGTTGGCCGACTTGCCTGCACTATCGGCTGCCCTGGGCGTTTCGATCAGCCTCCAGGTGAACGCACTCGGCCCCACGGTAGAAAGCAGCACGGGCAGCAGGATGAGCCCAACAAACAGGCCTATGCCCACCATGACAGAGTACTGCGCGAAGAAGTACTCCCTAAAGTAGGGGTACTCGGAAAACGCGATGGGCAGTATGCTGAGCAGGGTCGTGATGCCGCCGTTGAGCACGGCCAGACCCATCCCCTTGACGGCGCCGAACGCCCTCTGAGGCCTGTCGCCCTCCGACAGCATGAAGTGCCGCGTGATGTGGGAGCAGAACTCCACGGACAGGCCCACCGACACGATAAGGGCAACAAACGACGTGTAGTTCAGCCGCAGCCCGATCCAGTGAACCATCCCGGCGGCGATCACCACTGCTGAAGTCACACACGCCGCCACAATGACAGCCGCGAACCAGTGTATGATCAGGGGCATCATGACAAAGGCAGCAACAGCCACCGAGATGGCAAGCGCGATTGCGGTGTTCCTCGCGATGTTCTCGTACTGCTCGCCGACTCCGTACACCACGTAGTCGAAGGCAAATGCGTTCACGGCGGTGGCGTCCACGGCCGCGCGGCCTGATTGGATGTGCTTGACCTTGTCCGGGACGGCAGGCACGTCCTCGACGAATGCGAACGTCCTCATTCCCAGCGGGACGCCGAACTGGGAGCCCTCTACCCCGTTGTCGTCGAAGTCCACGAAGGTCTGGGACACGGCACCCCCCAGGGACTTGTTGAAGAAGTCAGTCCAGAAACTCTCAATCGGGGAATCCTCAGGACTCTCATAGAAGATGTCCGACCTGACCTTGGGCCGCCAGGGGCAGTAACACGCCTGCTCATCCTCCGACAGCCGGCACCGGTACGGCGACCCCGGTGGCCCCTGCGGGCAGATCACCTGGCACGGCATGGAACATATTAGTCGTCATCATCAGCATTTTTCACAGAACGAGACAATAAGGTAGCCGTCAGTTTCCTATTTTGCTCGAGCAGAGCAGTGTTTATGATAAGTTCATGGAGATCTAATGTAAGCACAAAAAGTATGTAAATCTATTAAATCCTATTGCCAAGAAGCGATTGTCGTTGATAATGCATCAAAAGAAGTCTCCTCCCCAGTTGGCATGAAGCACATCAGTCCCTCTGCCTCTATTCTGACTGTTGATCGTTGTATCGACACACTAAATCCTGACCCACTGGCCCACGTTGGCCTTGTCAGCAGAAGAAGGGATCTTCAAGAAAATGAAGTGGGGATTAATATGCTCTCATGTTTCATATGGTCAATATGTTTAACACTTAGTTGTTAATAATTCATTGTTTAACAATGTTTAATATGATTAATATGTTCACCTGGCACAGCTGGGCGCACGTCAGGCCTGGTATCAAATTCAGGCACTTGTTCTGCACTCTGTCGTGCACACTGGCGAACTCCTCGGAGTAAAAGCCGTCCCAGTACCACTCGACCTCGTCCATGCACACCGCGTCCGCGCAGAATTTGGAGTCAACATAGTCTGTGTAGTAATCCAGGGCCGATGCCACCCCGTAGAGCGGGTCCGCATTGTGGGCCTTAGTCACAAATTCGAATTCCGTCCGCTTGGACTCGTTGAACACGGCGAGGTCCGCGTAATCCTGATCGCCGCGGAAGACCAGGTACACGAGGTATGTGTTGAAGTGCTCCTCCGATGCGGAGAAGAACCTGCCGGGGTTGCTGTCCTTGGGCACGGTCTCCGAGACGGTGAGCCCCCTCTCGATCTTCGTTATTCCCCACACGCCAAGCGCCAGCCAACCGATGTAAACCACCAGTACAGCTACCTTGTACGCCGGGCTGTCAAGCGCCCTCCGGAAAAAGCGTCCCAAGAATGAGCCACTGTCTGTCTGAGGCATCCCACTGGTGGGTTTAAGACTGGCACCAGTTTTAAACGGACCGTCCGCTGCCCGACCCTTTTCGCCGTCGGTTGGACTGTCCTGCGACGCGTCTTCAACGGAAGCTTGAACGAGACTCGGCTTCCTGCTCAGATGCCTCTGAAGGTCCCAGGCAATGATGCAAGGAATGGTGGTCGCCGACGTGATGTACGCCATCACGACGCCAATCGCCATGTGGACGCCGAACCACTCGATTGCGGGAACGGGGCTCAGCGTCCCGAGCGCGAAGGCAGCGGTGATGCTCAGCGACGACAGGGTGATGCTGGCCCCTCCCTTCGCCATTGTCTCCGCCATGATGTCCTCCACGGACCTGGACTTGGCGGTTCCGAGCGCAACCCTGAAGGCCGTCGCCATCACGAAGAAGTCATTGATCCCGAGCCCCACCATCAGCAGCGGCACGACCTGGGGGGTGATTGGGGAGGTCTTGACGTCCGTCATCGAAACGAGGCCGATGATCCCAAACGTGCCGAACACCGCTATGATGATGGCGGCCAAGGCCAGGATTGCAGAGAGGGGTCCCGGAGGCAGATGGGAGAGCACGGGCCTGCCGTTTTCGAACTCGATCAGAAAGTAGGACACCATGTAGACCAGGACCAGCGCGTAGCCACCGAGGATCAAGGGCGCATGGGCCTCGCCTGCGTCCTCTATTACATCTTCGGGAATGATGGACGAGAACCACGACACCTTGATCAGCTTGTAGTCCTTGATCTTCTCCTCAATTTTGTCGTGCCACGCACGCTCCCATCCCTCCACGACGTCCCGCGCTTCGTCTTCGTCCTTTAAGGGCGTTCGCACAATCGTGGGCAGGTACCTCTGCCGCGGCTCCGGCGGTGCGACGGACGCTGTAGACGCCGCTTGGGGGGGCTCTGGCGCATTCTCTTCTGGCTGCATCTGATCTGGCGCCGTCTGTTCCGTCTGTTCCGCTATAACCTGCGGGGGGCAATCTTTCCTCACAGGACACGGGACGCCATTGACTAAAGATCCTGACAGCAGCTCCACAATTTCCTCGTCAGCTGCAGCACTTGAGCCGAGACTATCGAAAAGGGCCACCACTGCGGCGGCGCAGTCCTCCGAAGTTGGGTCATCGACGCAAATGCCAACAGTCGGAAGCGCCACAGACCGGGGAACGGCGCACCCGGCTTGCTCTCGAAGGATTTTGCGGACTTGCACGTTGGCGGTCGCGTTGGGAGCCGTCGACAACAACGCGGCAAGGGAATCGGGATTCTCAGGCGTGTACGCCGCCAAAGCCGCCGTGCAGTCTTGCGACCTGCTGTCCGTCAGGCACGCGCACACGTCCTCTGCAGAATCGGGGCACCCAGCTTCGTTGGCAAGAATCTCCTCGAACTGGGACGCAGCCGATTCGTTCCGCCTCGCCGCCTCGAAAGCCGGCCCAAATTCGGGATTCGACTCCGAGTAGGCCTCCGCAGCTTCGACGCACTGGGGTGAGTCCACGTCAGACAGACACTCGCACACCGCCGGGCAGCCAGCGTCCTCCACCAGTATCCGGCTGACCTCCGCAGCGGCCGTCTCGTTCCCCTCATTGGCCGCCTGCAAAATCGTCGCCGACCCGGGATTCGAATCGCCGAACTCCGCCCACGCCTGGGCACACTCGGGTGATTGCCTGTCCGCAAGACAGGTGCAGACACCCTCCTCGGCTGCGGGCGGACACCCCGCGCCGTTGGAGACGACACTTGTCCCGTTCCCGCCTGACTCAACGAAGGCGGCAGCGGCGGCGGCGCACGGGCGCGATCCCGCGTTGTCCACGCACGAGCACAGCGCGTGCTGCCCGCGGATGGCCAGGTTGTTCGCGCAGCGTTTGTCGAGCACCAGCGGCGGCAGGCGGCAGGCCTGGAAGCCCAGGTTGGCCAGGATCTCGATCTCGGGTAGGGCCTGCAGATGGGGCACCAGGCACGGCGCCGCCCGGAAGGCCGCCATGAAGTCGCAGCAGCTCTGGCTCTGCGCGCCGGAGGGCGTGCACCCCGCCTTGGCGGCGTTGCTGACGGTCCGCATCCCGGTCGCGCACCGCGCGCAGTCGGTGGACGTCAGACAGGACTCCTCCTCCTCCGCGGGGTCCCATCTGATCTCCGCCAGCCCCTCCCTGGCCAGCCTCTGCTTCGGCTTGGTCCCGAACACCACCCTCAGGGCCTCCACGCCCGTGATTGTGGGCTCCCCAAGGCTGTTCGTCCCTTTGCTGGGCGACCCCAGGAACACGGTGTCCGATGCGCCCAGGTTGTACCACTGCACGCACCGCCGGCGCACGTACTCCTCCGTGAAGCCCTCGCTGAAGTTGAAGGCCCTATATGACGGCCGCACGCCGTACAGGTCCGCGAACTCCGTGTTCATCTCCCCCCCCGGCGCGAACGCCAGCCCCTCGGCAAAGCAGTCCAGGATCGAGTACTGGAAGCACGGCTCGGTGTCCTCCCTGCCCACCGCCCTGAAGCAGATGCTCTCCATGTTGATTGTGAGATCGTCCCTGCGCGTGTACTCAACCGTGCGCAGCCACTCCGTCAGATCCCTCACCTCGTCCAGCACCTCGACGACAATCTCCGGATCAAGCAGATTGGACCCGGGGACCCGGGGCTCGATCACGAACGCGCCGGCGTCCGGGCTCTTGTCCTCGAAGTGCTGCTCATAGAAGGCCTTCTGCCCACGGATCTGCCCCCGCTGGCTAATGGTCAGCTCCAGCGGATCGAGCTCCATCTCGAAGAAGGCCACGCCGAAGCCCAAAGCCGCGAACAGCAGTGACACGCAGATCCCGATCGGCGCCCGCCACCGGGACAAAAACCTCCCGTACCTCCTGAAGGCCCGCTGAAGGGCCGGCTCCACGCGCCCAAACCACCCCCCCGAGGACCCCATTCCCGCGACAGCTCCCCGCCACGGAACACCGTTCCTTGGCTCCCCTCTCTGTGCAGTAACCCAGCCTTGCTCCGCCCAGCAGCAGTCCCCTGGTGTATTATTACCCCGGGGCGGGTGTGTCCAGAAGTAGTGCCGCGGGTGCTTGATCGTGCAAAGTGGAGCGGCCCCGGGATGGTGTGCTGGCGATGGGACAGGCGCAGGGGTGAGACGGGACGTCATGCGTCACACCGCGTGTGCGCAGAGGGCAAGTGTGATGGGCCAAGGGGGAACGTGGCGGAAGGGGGGCCACGCTTTGCGGCGTTGCAACTTGACGGCAGGATTGGTGTGGGGGTCGGGTGCCCCGCAGCGAGCGGTGTGCAAGGGGCGGCCTGGTGACAAACGCGGGCCTCCAAGGAGCTGGTGGACTGCGATTGGCAGCGGGCGGTAGTACGGGATAAGGGACCGATGCGCACGTGGGCAGCGCCTGGACGGTGACGCACTGGCTGGCAGTAGTGATCGCGATTGGTACTGCCGGGCACCAGGTCACTGTCGAGGCGATCGCCCTCAGGGTGTTGATGTTCCTGCGATTGGCACGGTGGTCTTGTCGCGATTGGCGTCAAATTTGTCCCGGTGTGGGCGAGATCCGAGCGCAGATCTGAATTTGGTCCCCCGTGTCCGCAGAGTCGTCGCAAGAAGTGTGGCGAACAAAGCCTTGCGCATGCGTTGTGCGTTGAAATTTCAGAACCCCGCCCAACGACAATGACAACCCGACGCAAGCCGAGAAGAGGCAAAAATCGCCCATACCATGCACGGAATTTCCTTGACGGAAAACCGTCTCCCATAGGTTTCTTATTACTTAAAACTAGCGCGTGTCGCTGCCGCTATGGAGATGATTCAGTTCTTGATACAAAGCCGTGCACAGGACAGACACAGCCCTATCGCATTTAGCGTCCCTGTCACAAGGAAGAAGGGGCCAAGTAACACGTGTTCAAACGGGTACAAAGTTTACGGGTTTGGGTTATTTCCGCTTTTTTAGCATGCACAGCACGGATGAAATGCATGTATGTGTGTTCCCGAAAAGTGTTATTTGGTCCTTTTTTACTAGATTGTCTGCTCTTTGTTGCAATTTCGCTGCCACAGGGCCTTGGGAGCCACCGCTTTGGAGACCGGCAAAAGTACCCATGTTGCCAGAAGGCGGGGCTGGATACACGCACAATTGTATCTGGACAATGGAACAAGAGCAAAAATGGGCAGGTGCGGCTGAAGGATCATTATAGCGGCCTTGGGTGAAATCTGCACACAACAGCAGCGCGCCAAACAATCACCCCGCTACAGGTATGCAGTTGGCCTCGCTTTCAATGGTCTATGCGTGGGGTCGTTACTCGTGCCGCCCTCGCTTGCCACCGTCAATTCACTGCAACACGAATTAAGCTTTCCCTGAAGCAGTGAAATGAGTTGTGAGCCATAACTTCCGCCAACGCTCAGGCACCTTGTGAGACGAACCCAACCGTTTTCACCGATGGACGCCTTGTGCTACGCTGCTCCCCAGCCCCTATTTTGTCCCCCGCGCCTGAGGTCGGCATCCATCCAACCCAACATCCAAACTGTGGTAACTGAGACATGCCCCCCTTCTCCGCCCTCCGATCTGCACAAACAGACGAGCACATCTTCACATTAGCACGTCCAAGGCAAGAAATCATAGCTTGGGACTCGTGGACTCCATCCTCGCCCTCCTCTGCTCGTGCCTCTGCTCCTCCAGTTCCTGCTGCAGCTCCATCTCCCACCGCTGCTCCTTCTCCAGCGGCGTGGGCCCAACCGCGGCCCCATCGTCCCCGCTGCTCGCCTTCCCGCCGACGTCGCCGGAATCCAGGAGTGAAAGAAGCGACGACTGGGAGAACGGCTGCGACAGCCTCAGCGTATCCTGGATGGCCCTCTCTCGGACGATGTTCATGAACCCGGCAGGGTCGCTGGATCGAAGCGGCGCGATGATTTGGGCGGGCTGCGTCAGGCCCTCCAGTTTTCTGCAGGGGTCAGGCGACCCGCAAGGCGGTGCGGCGGGAATCGGATGGGCTCGCGGCGGCGCAGCGCTTGGGACACCGTCTCCGGCGTTGTGCACCGTCATGGTGGGCTCCTCCACGGGGTTGAAGTCGCTGCATTCCGATTTGCCGTCGTCATCGCGCCTCACAAAGTCGCCCTTGCCTCTGCCGAGCCGCTCCTCAGCCCGGGCGCCCTCAGTGGCGCGGACGTCGGCGGGTGTGACACTGAAAATACAGAAATACATGAGATATAAAACATGGAAACAGAGAAACATACATAAATGTAGGGCACAGAATATGCAAATGCCATGGAAATCAGGTTGATGTAGTGTAAAAGTGTGTTTTGACGCTCCAAGTTGAAGAGATAGATGGAAGGCACATGTTAAGCTCATTTCACACGCCACCGGATGTGAAATTGGTCAGCAATACAAACTTTTTGAGTTAAGAGCATGTTATGTTATTTATCTATCCAAGCACTGATTACTCCTAACTATTTAAACATTTCCGTTTCAGATTGAAACTGCTTCGTCACTTCAGTCTGCCACTGTTTCAATTTTCCTTTTGACATTGGTTGCACCGCAGGTGCACGACTGATTTTGCGACTGTCCAATACGCAGACAAGAGCTGTGCAAAACGTGAACCATTTTGTTGCCACGCCAGACGGACTAGCGCCAAACACTGCAAAGTCCGCATAGACCGCTGGAAAATCCGATGCCGCCCGATGGTCCGGACTCTCAAGCTCGCCCGCCAGTTCCGCTGCCCTGTCGGGACACGTTCCACGACCGGAGCGTCGTATATCGCGCGGCTACGGTACGAGCCTTCGTTCATGCACCCACGTCGATGGACAAGGCTGTCGTTGCAGCTCTTCGCGCGGCCGATCCTCCCCAGACGCGGGCATGTCGAACCACGGCAGCCGGTGCTCCAGGTCGATCGGCCGGTCGCTGGGAGGGTCGCTGTAGGCGGGGGCCCGCTCGCCGGCGTGGGCCACGAAGGGGTGCTTGAGCAGTCGCGTGGCGTTCGGCCGCTCCTTGGGATTCCTGTGGAAGCACATGCGAAGGAAGTCCTGGGCCTCGAGGGAGAGGGTCTCAGGGATGGTGGGCGGGCCCTTGGCCGAGGCGATGTGGAACATGACCGTCACGTTGTTGGTGAACTCGCTCCAGGGCGGCTTGCCCGTGGCCATCTCGATGACGGTACAGCCGACGGACCAGATGTCGGCTTGACGGCCGTGGCCTGGCGGTTTGGCACAAACGGGAAATCAATCCCCGCGACCAGGCTCGGAAGGGGCAGAACACGAGTATTTGTTAAAACGCCATTATCGCCCTTGCCAAGGGCGAGGTGGACATTGTGTTGCAGGTGCTGGAGATGGTGGAGGACTGAACATTGTACGCAACTTTCATCGTGTAACCTTCGTGTGCCAGAGAGCCGAAAAAAACGTAAAATTAGCCGTAAAAATAGGTTCGTTTGCAAATTTACGTTTTTGCGCAAAAAACGTGAAAGTAAACACGTAAATATAAACGTAAAAACCAAGCCTGCCCGCGACCGCGGTTGAGGAGGCTTTGAGCGGCGCTGTCACTGGGTGTTCATTGGTGGCAAACGTGCTGTTCTGAAGTCAGTTTTCGAAGAGATGGCGGGCGCAGAGGAGCATGCTCTGACTTGGCGGTTGTTCGAGTGGTGGATTGAATTCAATGGGCTACTTGCAGACTCGAAGCTGGATGCGTCTGATGCACGGGACTGGATGCTTTTCACTTTGCGCCCTGCTACTGAGGCCCTCGTTGTGTGCTTCATCATTTACCATGACGCCGATCATTCCACGAAAAGTCTGCCCCTGTTTCAACCAAGTCCATGGCCGCCACTCAAGCGACAGCAGAGCACCTTCGCTCGGGCGAGATATGGAACTGATGACTGCTTCATCGCCTTGATATGTAAGAATTATTGATGGCAATAGTGACAGCAGAGCACCACGCCATCAATGCAGCCAGGTTTCGCCATCAGCAGTTTCTAATTTCATAGACAATTTCAGGGCTTACATCCGCCGGCGGCCCACCTGTCTGCTTGATCACCTCGGGCGCCATCCAGTACGGTGTCCCTTTCAGCGACTTGAAGCCCGAGTTCAGCGTCACTAGGTCCTCGATCCGCTTGCTCGCGCCGAAGTCCGCCAGCTTCACGGCGCCGTTGTGGTCCACCAGGATGTTGCCGCCCTTGATGTCCCGGTGCGCGATGCCGTTCCGGTGCAGGAACTCCAGGCCCTGGAGAATCTGCTTGGTGAAGAGGCGCGTCAGGGTCTCCTGGAAGGCTCCGAACTTGGACAGCAGGGAGGCCACCGACCCCCCCGCGGCGTACTCTAGGAAGATGTTCACCGTGTCGCCCGTGCGCTCCGTGCCCAAGTACTGCACGATGTTGGGACTCTTGAGCTGCTTTAGCATGCGCACCTCCTCTTCCAGGGCTTTGACGTGCTCCGCCACGCGCGACCTGCAGGACTCGTCGTTGGGCGTCTGGACCTGCAGCACGGAGGAAGGTGCTCGGTCGCCGCAGGCTGCATTGATGAATAAGGAATGATCAACTGGTTAGATGCATAAACTAGGTGTAAATGATACATATATCGGAAATTTCCTATATTTTGCGTTTTGAGCTTTAAAGTTTGAAATACAGAGTACATATAGTGGGAAGAAAAACGGGTTTGGGGTGACACAAATTGGCCAATTCTTAATGCATGGCACTCTCCTGATGCGTGATTTCAGAATTTGAGTTTCTAAATGCGAGCTAAGTACGAAACTGCAAATAGTATGCACGACAAATCGGAAGCAGTTTTTGAATCCGTGACTTTGGCCCACAATGCAAAGACTCTCGACGAACGCAAATGATTTGCCTGCCATTGAGCGTGCAAAGTTTGCCCATAACCTGCGTATCCTGGACGCAACTTCAAAGGATTGAGATTGGTTGTTGTTACAAGCACAAATAGGCGGATACGTGCTGATTGAGCACATTTCGTGCCAAAAGAAGCGTATAGTGCTGTCAGAATGTGGGATGACAGGATATTACATTCGATTTTAGCGGCATCCGATGCTACAGACTGTTTCGGACGAAGGCCGTCCCATCATGTTTCATTCAAGGAGGGCATCGCTGCGCGAAAGAAATGACGGCACAGCAATGCTTAATACATTGAACCGGGCAAGGCAACTGAAGCTTCATGGCGATAACGGAAGATTTCACCCCCCCAAAATCAACCGCTGCATGCAGAAGGACAGAACAAAGCACAAGATAAGAATGCACATAAAAGATTGATGGGGGATGAAAATGTTGTGCCTTGGTGATTGTTTGCAATAGTCCTATCAGAACAACACAAGAGAGTACACACATGTACGCATTGTTTTTGTCAGAGCAAATCCTTCAAAAGTCCGGCGACAGTCTGAAGCCGACGAAAAGGAGCAACCCACCTGTTTGACGGCCATCAGTCGGCCGGACACCTGGTTGAGCCCCAGGTACACCCTGCCGTACGCGCCCGCGCCGATCAGCTCCCCCCTCGTCCACCGCATTGGCGTCCTGTCCTCGTAGCCGCCCCCCATGGCGAAGTGGATGTCCGCGGCGGGGATGTCCACCGTCACGGAGGGGCGCCCCCTCTTGTTACTCGTGGGCCCGCCCTTGCCCCCCGCCGCCTCCCTCCCCTCAAACCCCTCCCGGCGTCCGCGCTCGCCCCCGTCCTTAAAAGACTTCGCATCCGGAAGATCGACGCGGATCTCCCCGGGTCGATCGGCTGTGCCGATCTCGACCACGAACTCATTTCGGCATGCAGGCTGCGGAACTCTGAAGGAGCCATCCGGTCTGCGGGGCCGGTGATCGGGATCTGGGAAGGGGGCGCCGTCGTCCGGGAAGATGATGATGTCCCCAACGGGGCTGTCGGCCTGGACGCGCTCGGGTGTGTCGGCCGCCCTCGCCGAGCTGCACAGATTGCCCATCAGTGAGAGGGGGGCGGCGTGTGTGTTTTCGCGGGCGCCCTGGGTCGCGCAGGCAACAGAATGAATGCGTTTGAACGCCTGCCGTGTCGCGACACGCAATCGGCCATCGATCAGGCCCGGCGGGGAGGGAAGTGGTGCTTGGAATGGGTTGCGGTTCAGGCTGGGTGGATTCGGTCAGGGAGGGGTTTGAGTCGCGGGAAGAGCTCGTGGCCCGAGTGGCTTTTACGCGGGGAAGGGCGGCGGGGACGAGGGGCGGCATCGGAGATTCTGGCCCGGGCGGGATCCGCCCTGACAGAACAGCCGCGGTTGTCACTCGTCGCGCGAAGGGCTCTCGACCCCATGCTGATGAAAGTAAGGGGAAGGCAATCCTCCGCACGGGAACCGGCGCTCCCATCCTCCGTCTTCAGGGGCAAAATTTTCTTCGGGCCAGGCAAAACCCGCACGCGCACGTCCGCAACCCTCCTGGACCTCCCTACGGTCGTTTTGATCTCCCACCCACTCCGGCCCCTTTGCGAGCCAGAGCCGGATCTTTCGCAGCTCGCCGTCGTTGGGGCGTCCCAAGGCAGTCGGCGGGCAAGAAGAACAGCGCGCGAGGCGGGGATGCGCGCTTGGCGACCCGAATCCCGAGCGCCCCGGACTCGCACCTTGCGAGCAGCCGCTCAGCGCTTGCGGCCACCGAGCCTCGCCTCCGACGCCCGGCCGGCGTTGAAGCCCGCCTGCTTGAGGGGTGTCGCCCGTCGGACGTCCCAGACAGGGGCGGACGTCCCCAGTGGAGCCCACACCAAAAGCGTCGCAAAATCGGGTGCCGCTGCGATTCCTACTCCACCCAAATAAATACATTTTGCTGTTTTGGGGGGCTAAAAAATTTTGCCAAACCTTTTTGCCAAGAACAATTTGCAAACACGCAGTGTTGGAGTACGAATCGTTATGGTGCAGCCACGCACCGCCTACGGTTGCATCCAGTATTTTGGTGAACGGCTTCAGGGGTCTGCGACGACATGCAGGGGGCTCCGCCGAGGGCCAAACGCCGAGACAGCCTTCCCTTAGCCCTTTTCCAGCGCACAGGTTGCGGGGAGGTTCCCAAGTGATGGCCGACGCGCAGCAGGCGCAATCCCCGGCGTGCGATGCGACAGGCACCAGCAGCGGGACCCCCCTCGCCGCGTTGCAGTCGCAGTTGCGCGACCTGCGCCGTCGATACGGCGCGGGCCTGAAGCTCAAGAAGTCCTTAGCCGACTCGGCCAGCGGCTGCAAACGCCGCGGCTGCGTCCTAGCGGTGCGGATCCCCAATCCGGACGCAGGGTCTTCGTTCGATGTTGATTGCCTCGATGTTAGGGTCCGCCTGGGGCCCGCATTTTTGCCGGAGGGCGTCAGCGGCCAAGACGGCGTGGAATCGGAGCTGGGCGTCGAGGTCGTGAATCAAGGCTTCCCGGATGAGCTACGGGTTGCAATCGCGGGTCGCCTGGCGGAGGCCGGGCGGGGAGGGGCGCTGGGCGCGCTGTTCGACGCCGCGGAGCGGGATTTCGACAGGCTGCTGGGGTGCGTGCCGGAGGCGGTGGAGGCGTACGAGTCGGTGGACGCGATGGGGGCCACCGTCCGGCGGTTCGCCATCAGGGAGGCGTCCCTGGAGGGTTCGTCCTCGGCGCCAGTCGTGGCGGGGGAGACATTGAAGCATGCCCCTCCGGCTGAGATGATTTGTAGAGGGGCAGATGGGCCCCAGGATTCCGCGCGCGGCCTCGACCCTGATGGCGGGGCTGGGGTTTCTTGCGAGCGCCACGAAAATGAGCAAAAGGATGAGGGACAAGATGTCGAGATGGCTGGGCCCATTGCCAGGGAGCTGGGGCTGGTTGCCAAGCGGTACCCGGAGGGCTTTCGGTGGAGGGCGGACGAGCAGGCAAGCAGGCCGGTCACTGGTGCGGAGTACAGTCTGAGCTTGACACCTTCGGATCCCGATTGGGACCGTGGGGACCTGGAGTTCAGTGGTAGGCTTTGGATGGGGGATGTGGGTGAGATGGGCGTGTCTGCGAGTCTTGCGGGGGGCGGGGGTGTTGTGCCGGAGGCTTGGGACCAAATCAACAGCTCGCTGGCGTGTGAGTGCGGCCTGGCCGCGGGCAGACCCAATGCGCTGCGATGGATTGCGAAATTCCTTGAAGGCCATTCTGCCCGTGTGGTGGTGGAGGCAGAAGCTGCCGTGGGTGGTGGGCCACTAGAGGACGCGCTCACAGCGAAGACAGACAACGAGGACAACCAAGATAGCGGAGATGAAGTGCAGGGAGACTCCGAATCAGTTGAGGAAGGTGGGTGCGAAGCAAGCGCGCTGCAGTCAACAGCAGGCAGTACGGCTGTGGGGTGTCTCAGCCTCCAATTGGAGGACTTGAAACTGGACAACATCGACGTGATGGAGGGCCTGCAGCTTGCCATTGAGGTGCGCTGCGAGCGATGCAGCAGTGCCAACACGCTGCTTGTGTCTAGCCCAGCGGTGTTGCAGGGTGACAATGGAGCATCATCTGCTCGGAAGGGTGCATGGACATGCTCTATGGAGTGCTCCAAATGCCACGTTCTGCTCAACCTTGAAGTTCACTCCAGGATGGTGCACGAGAATTGCAACGTGCTGGGCCGTTTGTCCAGCACCAACTGTGCTCCCTGGGACATGCCAAACTGCCAGGTGATGTGCCAGTGCAGTGGCTGCAGCGCGCTAACCTCCATCCGAGGTGTGCAAATCGGGCAACCAGCCTCAAAGCAATGCCCAAAGTGCCACACAACAATGACAGTGAGGTATGGGGCGGCGTCTTTCACCCAACCCGCCATCCAGACCAGCCCCAAAAAGGTGCGCAGGGGTGGGCCTGTGACAGATTCAAAGGGCAAGGGAGAGTTTGGCAGGGGAAGACTCGTGGTGGGAGAGCCGCTGCCAGAGTTGGGCACGTGCAAGCATTACAGGCACTCGCACCGGTGGCTACGGTTCCCTTGCTGTGGCAGGCGGTTCCCATGCGACCTGTGCCATGAAGAGCTGACAGACGGGCACGCGATGAAGTGGGCCACCAGGATGGTGTGTGGTTATTGCTCTGTGGAACAGTCGCTTGGTGAGGCCTGCAGGCGCTGTGGCAAAAAGCTGGCAGGCAGCGCTGCACTGCCATCTGGCAGAGGCACCCAGTTCTGGGAGGGGGGCACTGGCTGCAGGGACCATAGGAGGCTGAGCAAGAAGGACCCAAGGAAATGGGGCAACTCCAAGCTGAAGACCAAGTCGAACAAGCAGAATCGCGTGGGGCAAAAGGCAGCAAGGAGGCAAGAACGCTCCTAGGGTGGTTGGCCAAGACTTCTGGGCTAGGTTGCAGCATGAAAGGATAGGAATTTTTGCCATTTTACATTGGCATGTAGGTGTGCTGCAAAATGTTTGGGGAGGGCAAAAGTGCCGCTGTAAAATAATCTTTCCCAGGACCCTTGTTCTGTGCACAAAAGTGTTTTAGTATCTTGTGTGGCAGCCACACAGGTTCAAAGTCAAAACAAAGGGTTGCCTACAATTTATGTGTTGCATGCACTACTGGAAAGGAGCGAGCAAAACGTGAATGACCTGATGGCCCTGGTGTCTTTCCCCTCAGCACCAAAGTTGCAGCATGTAGTCATAGTGCAAGCATCCTGAATGGGCCGACCACCTGCCCTCCCACCAGTCGAAATTTCGACCCAGCTGTGGGATTGACACACAGGTCACAATATCTGTGGCCTCTGGGTCTTAGCACTCTGGAATGTGCAGTGTTGGATCAGGCGATTCCCTTGCTTGTCTGCCCAGTACCCTAACAGTTCATGCTGCATCATCCTCGCAGGGGAGTTCCTGGTTTCGGGTGTTCAGATACTTGGTATCAAAATTGGTGAAGAAGCTGTATTGATACACCTTGGGCAGGACAAACAATGGGGTGCATTCAGTGGAGCTGTCAGATGAGGGTGGGAGGCAGGTGTGACCTTGAGCAAGTTGCTTGCCATCCAAGATGAAGAAAGGAACTATACAGATGAATGGGTACATTCATTCAAGAGAGCTGGAAACAGAATACTGCAGTAGTTCATGATCCCCTTCGTTAGGGCCCACAGTAAGGCACTGTACCACAGGGTAGCCGTGGGTTCCTGCTTTCCATGCTCTCTGGCTGTCTCTTTGCTGCTTTGCCTCCAGGCTTGTGTGCACTGTGTGGTGAGCAGACATGCACATTTGCACATTTGCTCCGTTTCAGGAGACTGGATGCAGGAAATGGAAAACCCGTACCAGAATCAATCCGCAACAAGCAGCGGAACGCTTCCTTATTATACATTCTATGGTGGCATTGATGTGAAGAAATTGGTACTTTCATTCCTAGTAACCATGGCTCATAGGCCCAGGCAGAAGAGTTGTTGCACAAGATGAAGCCACACTTGCAACAGGCGGGACTGTGCCACCATCTATGATCGTCTGTGGTTGAAGAACCACCCACAAGCAGCATGTCATGCCTGTTCGCACCAGTGTGGGTATGGACGGTTTGAATAGGCAGGGCTTTGCACCCAGGGCTTCCCTCAGCATGCCTGCGTTCTCCGAGATCGTGCTGAGCACGACCCTGCCCCCTGCACCGCGCAAAGAAAGGACTTGCAGTCAGTTCCACACTTGGATTGAACACATGAGACCATGGTGACAGCAGTCAAGGGACCTAGACGGCAAGGGCATGGTGCAGCGGAATCGACAGCGCAGAGCACAAGGAGTCAGGAGTTGGAAAGGGCGAGGCTGTGCAGAAGCTGGGAGAACGGCAGCTGGGAGAGAGGAATACTGGTGTTCCCCAAACAGTCCATGGTACCCATGGTGCCAATGCCAAGCAAGACGGCCACATGCTCGTTGATTGCCCGTCGGCTGCGGGGCGATGTTTTGGGCACGTCGCAGGCGCACAGAGCGGGACGCTGCGGGGGCCAGGGGGCGATGGACAAGTGACCTTGAGGAGCGAGGAGCAGACGTGAAGTCTCTATGTACTTGGCCCAAACCTCGCCGCTGACAAAGGGAGGGTCGACGACCACGCAGTCGAAGGAGTGGCGCAGGGCCGGCGGGACGTCGGAGGGGCTGGCGTAGTCGTAGAACACGAAGTGCGGGTCCTTGCTCCACTTCTCGTCGAAATCGAACAGCCACGACCTGGGCCGCAGCTTGGATTCCTGGACAAGCAGCATTGGTGTGGTGCAGAAGTGCGACAACGCAGGGCAATGGTGCAATCCACCTGGGGACTGGCCTGCTGAAGTTCCATGGGGCACGGGGAGACGTTCCGTGGGGCGCTGGCAGTCCTCCAAGACCCAGTGCCGTTCGGTGAGCGATGGGAATTGATCGATAACTGTCGTGAAAATGTGGGCGCCTCGGTCTTCAATGAACAGATCTGCCGATTTCCAGCTCCCACGCGCCGACAACAAAGACAACACCTGGGCGCATTCCCTCCGCTTAGAGCACCCTTGCCCGTTCTGCGGCTCTGACCGGGCCCAATCCAACCCACCTTGTCCAGGGAGAAGTACACGCTCGGCGTGGACACGAAGGCAACGGCTTCCGCGGCGTCCTCCAGCTCCTGCACCGCGACAGACGTCACCAAGCCACCGCTAAAGCCAAACCGCTCCCCCAGGACAAGACTGCTCCGAAAAATGCTCCCGGCCCTTAGGGCCCTGGACTGGACAGCAGCAGCCCACAGTGCAAGGGGGAACAGCCGGAGGCAGGGGCTCAACCCCTCAGGCCCACGCCTGGCCCCTGCCGCATGAGAAAAGAGCACTCGTGCGCGATGCTCGGGGCACCTTGATGAGGGTGTCGATCGTGAAGGCCGAGTACCAGTACTGGTTCAGGCTGGGTTTCTCGTGGTGCCTGGGCCGGGGTGGCAGGCGAGCAGCCGCGTCAGGGCAGCGGGGGAGGACGGGCGGGCCCTGGGGCGCGACTGGGCGGGGCTGCCGGCGCCTCGCCTGACCTGGCCAAGAACCTGTTCCCCTTCGTCATGTCTCGCGTCGGAGTCGGAGGGGGCCCAGCGGCTGGGCGCAGTCTCCAAGTCCTTGGCGGCGGGCTTTTGAGGTCGTTAGGGTGCCACTGTAACTACATTTGGATGGGTGATGGGGGCTTCTGAATGCTGTGAATGGGCGGCCTCTTGAGTTTGCTAGGGTGCGACTAAAACTACTCATCATCGACAATCGCTTCTTTGGCATTAGGAGCTAATAGATTCATAGACTGTGTTCATGTTTAATATTAGATTTCAATGAACTGATCATGGACACAGCTTTGCTCAGCCAGAATAGGAAGCTAATGGCTACCTCGTTGTCTTGTCATGTAAGAATGAAGAGAGCCAAAAGTACCTCGGGATGCGTGAAGCCACTGGCCAATTATGTGCCCGCTGGCCCCACTATAAATCAGTCTGCCTCACGATACGGTTGCCACCATCTACGGTAGTTGGGCTTGAGGACACATATTTGGGCAATGGCATTGAAGGGTGGTTATGGATACGTTGAATGGACGCCTCCGGCCTCCCCCTCATAATCTCCTTGAACAGTGACGTGGCAGCGACGTGGCTGTCCGGATTTTAGATTTCATGGTTTTGGGTTAGGCTTTTAGTTTTTAGGCTAGGTTAGTCTAGGTTTAGGTTTTGGCTTGGGTTGCCACCTGTGAGTCCCAAAGTGGTGACATCGCGAGACAGAGGATGGCCGAAGGCCAGAGGGTGGTTCGAGGAAGCACGTGTCCCGCTGCCTACGGACCGCGACAGGTAGGTTCGCGCCGGTGCGAGCCGGGGAGGAAGTGAGAGGCCGTCCCCGGCGAGTCGTGTTAGAGGGGTCGATGCCTGTGGAACCGCGGAAGCTTTGGGTAGCACCACTGAGCTTGCGTGGTCATTGTGCCGTCCCATGGTTCAGGCCAGCGGAAGGCACCCTGGTGGGTAACGTCGCGCGAAATCCGCGCCGATCGGGCGCCTCCGCGTGGGCAATCTCAGGCCGCGCGTCACGCCTTTCACGATCTATGGGGCCGCGGCAATTTAATTTCCCTTGCGGTGCTGTAAACGGGCGCAGCCAGCGAGTCCCGGCAGAGCGTTCGAGCGTGCATCATATTTGGTGAGCTGCGCTTCGTGGGGGAAGACCTGCACGGCAATAGCGTTGGAAAAATGCTGGTCTCGCGCTGGATTATTGGCTCAGCGGGCACATGTCGCGCTGCTTGGGCGACAGGACGCAAGCACCGGGTCGGGTTTGCCCCACGAATGAAAGTCTTGTCAGTTTACGGCCCTCCTGGGCCTGCCATCAGCTTCGAACCATGCACTGCCCGCCAGCGCTTCGCCCGGGCCTGGATTCCCTGGGTGCGATTTCCATCGACAACGCCGGCCTCCGCCAGGGGCCCACTGCCATGTTGGGGTTTGATTGGTCTCACCGCGTGTGGCGCAGTTCTGAGAGGCTTGGAGGGGCACCAGCTCGAGCTGGCATGCTCTGGGCGAGGGCCCAGGGCTGGTGGCTGCTGTGGACGCTGTCGTGTTGGCTCTTTGGGTGCTTCGCGGAGGGGGAGCAACAGCGTGGGGGACCGACCGTGTACTGCAATAACACAGGTGGCAGCTGAGTTCCCAGCGCCGCACGTTGTTGCCCGAATGTTGCCATTCTGTGAGTCTACCGGCTCAGGGCGCTGCCTGGGGCCGCATGTGAAAGGGGGGATGAACAGTAGGCAAGAATGGGCACAGTAAGGTCCACATCAAAAGGAAGACTGGGATAGACTTTAGCCGGAAAAGAAACGTTGATGCTATGTGTGTAGCCCATTCTGAGGAGCGCCTGTTCAGTAAATCTCCTTTCCATGTAGACAAGAGCTATGAGCAGGTCTCCAAGTGCACGATGAACACCCCACGACGATTCTTTTCTGTTGGACTCGCTTGTTGTCCAAATGCTGCATGGGTAGCATTGTTGCACATATCTCTCTGTGGCAGATGTTTGAAATTCGTCGTTGGTTTCATATCATCTATCAATGACAGTGGCTGGCAGCAACGATGTTGGAGTTTGGAATTTCTTGAAGTGAACAGCTGACAGCCCAATAGATCGCGTTGTAGAGGGCACTGAATGCACAATTATAAGGATCGGCCTGCTTGTTGTTGATCCTGGCTTGCATAAACGTCCAGGACCGCTCATATGTCATACCTCTGGGGGCACAAACCCACATGCTCTGATCAGCCCAGCTGCAGTTAGCGATAGTGCCCAGTAAACCGTATTGCAAGGAAAATCATTACTGCTGTGGCTGCAGTCAAGATCCCATCTGAAATCGACGAAATGAAGACGGCAAATGGCTTGCCTGCCAACAATTGAGATGTTCCGGTAGCTCCTGAATTCAACTGCCACCTTGTTTCAAACACAATTAGAAGCTGACCAATCAGTTTACAGATGTTGTTTAGAATTCGTCAAACTCGTCATCTCAAAGCTGTTTCACCTCAAAATTGTGTCAGTGGATATGGCGCAAGCATTCACGAGAATTTGTGCTCTGGGTTGGTAGCACAGCGGTACAAATTGAACACTGCAGTGGGCTCATTGAGAAGCGAAGAATGCAGCACGCTCACGATCTGTGTGCAACCAACTAGGCCCTTGCATTCGGTGCACAGAAGATCTTCAGGCACATTGGGATGTCTGCAGCCAGACAGGATACTTCAGACCGGCAAGGTGCAGCGAAACACCCACTCAGGACTTCCACTTCAAGCTGACCCTCTCTGAGAGTGCAGCAAGCCAGCCCCCTAACGGCAGCTCCTGTTTGCCACTGACGCGCCTGCTGCACCGGCAGGGTCTCGCATATAAAAGCGAGGGGATGACAGTTGCTGCTTTCGAAGCCCTGATGATAGGGCTAATGATCATATCGATGGGGGTTGTGTGGTGCAGGAAGAGAAGGGGGTACTAATTTATTGTGGCCTTCACGATGTATTGCCTGATCGGCTGAAAGCAATAGCCGGTGCCCAAGTGCGACCGGTGTGGGTACCAAGGTTTTAGGATGAATACCGTTGGCGAGGTGTTCGGTAGTGACTTTAATGGCGTGGGCTTGGTGTCTGCTGAACAGTCTTGACGTGTGCTTTCCAGTGGATGCCTGTGGATGGCAACTTGGCGTCCCATTCTGTGGGCAGAGGCGACGCCAATTGCTGTGTGTCGGGCGGTTCGCTGTTCTTCCAGCTGCAATATCCAGGCCGTTGGTTCTGGATGCGCATTAAGCTGGGTGCAGTCACCCTGGATATTACGGATGCCGACTTTGGTTCCTGCAGCCATGAGGACAATGGCAAAGAGGCTGGGCAGAACAGCCTTCCGGTCAAAGCGGATGCAAGGCCAAAGTGCCGAACAGAGGGGCACAAAAGACTCAAAACGAAGTCGCTGCAAACAGTCGCGTATGGCAACGCCAGAATGGCGCAGCCCGTGAGTGACCCCGTACCAGAAGGGCACCCATGGCCGAATTAATTCGTCCAAACAACCTATTGTGAAGCTTCACCAATGTAACCAATGGTGTTGGAATAGTACTAATCAATAAAACAACATAGATCAGGTCCATTTGCAACATATCTACCGTATGACATAATAATGGACAAGTGGAAGAGAGGCGTGCAGATCGCCAATTGGAATGTGCTGGCTGTACAAACAATGTTTTGCTCACGCTCATGAACAGCCGCATCTTTCCGCCTTGCAGAGTCTTGCTAGCGTGGGGCGGGAATGAGGGGGAGGGGGGAGCCAATGAGACATGGAGAACAACGCGCTTCGAACAGCGCACGAAGTCGATGCTGCTTCCACACACCCGAAGGTGCTGTGGCCTTTGGTGTTGAAGGGACACAAAGGGCCTGATATACATCGGGTCCACGTTAATTTGCCCATCCATGCCAACCTGACAGCCTGGGGGACCTAACATGCTGTCCGTTATCTCGTCCGCTAAGAGCTCACCAGCACGGTGCCAAGCGTGTTGCTTCCTCGTTGCCATCCATTCGCGTTGCTTGCTTCCATCTTCTTCACACTGTACCAGCGGCCGTTTCATTCGGCTGACACACAATTTACCGCAAGAGCGGGCAACGACAATTTGCGGCCGTCCTGGCTGCGCGGCGACGTGAGCGCAATCGAACAAAGCACACAGGCTGTTGAGCGACACTGCAAGTCAAACATAAATAATGAGTCACAAACTGCTCCTACCGAACTGCCTCACATGCTGGTTCCACAATTTCCCCTCTCTATCACAAGCCCTTCCCCCGCACTATTCGCTAGCTCGTAATCCCTTCTTCCTGCGCTCTTCCGACCCATGGACGGCGTCGCAATCCGCCACCCCTCGTTTCCGCCTCTCCCTCGGAGAAACGTCCTGCTGCTCACCCACTTCTTCCTCATCGTCATCGTCGTCATCATCCCCTGGGCGCGCCAAGCACCGCGTCAAAGATGGCTCAAATACGGCTCAAACATGGCTCAGGCATGGCTGCTTTCAGTTTCCTGGCCCTCGCATCCAATTGCCATTCTCAGCTAGTTGATGGATGTCGCTTTTCAATTCCTGTATGATTCGCTGCGATTCAATCAGCAAGGAAGGTGATCTTGCCCCATGCACATCAAGATGGCAGCTTCACAGTGCGGTTACATTCCGTTTTGAGGGTTTTCCCAGCACGCCTTGACAGGCACGAGTCGACGTGTGGGTAGGAGCAGGAAACGGATCTATGTGGCTAATACTGGACTTCACCTGTGGCTGCGTCCCAAATGGTGATCGACAGCGTACAGCACGCGTATTGTGGACATAGAAGTGTCGATCGCCCCCAAACAGTAATTGCTGCATCAGATCACCACTAAAATACTAGTTATCAGGCCTGTCCGTCTCTATTTAGCGCGTTTTTCCCACCCCAGCTCCTCGCATCTTCCCGCAATTTTCTGGACTTATTTCCACGTGGTGTTCGCACCCCTCATCAAGGCCAAGCTGTTCAAAACAGTTGCAGAGCACACAAACCTTATCCTCCAACGCATCTTCTTCTGGCTTTGTGCAGCACGCCCTCCTCAACGCCAATTAGCAATCAGCGAGCAAGTCCACACAATTCCGCAGAAACGCAAATCGAGCCCACCCACTAAACAGTTGAGGGCCAAGAAGGACACCGTACAATATTCAACCCTTCCGTGTATTAACGCAACGCTTGGCTTGTTTTTTGGAAGAAAGATTGGTAAATAATAACGTAACGCTTGGCCTTTTTCACGGAGCAACATAAACAAAATAAAGTAACGCTCTGAAAAAAAAATGCAGAGCATAAAAAGCAACTGCAAAAGTTTCTCATGCGAAAGGTTGAATATTTTATGGTACATTGGGTGCTCACCTTCCCAGTCATCCAAAGGTGGCAAGAATCCAACCCCCGTGAGCTGGTACTTCACATACTTCTTCAGCAGCAGCTTCCGCGTCACGGGGTGGTGGATCCTAATGAATCTGTCCAAGCTGGCAGAGGCGACGAGAGGGCGGCTCGGGTGGGCAGTCAGTGCGCGCACGGAGCCGGAGATCTGCCCCTTTAGAGACCCATCGATCACTCGCTTTCGGAGGTCCAAGGATTCGATTTGGCCCGTCCCATTGGCCAACCAGATGCAAATGCCTGCATGTCGGCGATCAGCGCATTCGTAGCCACGCTATTGCGAATTGCTCAATCTGGACTATCACGCCACTTGCAATGATAATGACATGTGCACTCTGCATTTCACGTGAGCACGTCACGTGCAACCCAAAACCTCGCACAGGTGTTCACGTGAGCGCATGAGTCGCAGTTGCGGAGGACACATGACGAGACAGCACGTTCAACAAGGGCCGAACTGTGGCACCACCGAGATGTCATTCACACGGCACAGGAGGGCCTTCATTTAATTTCTAATCAGCGGGCCCATCAATGGGCAGAAAGAAATAAATTCACCAGACAAATTCAACATCACTCCAGGCTTCGTGTTCGCCATCACTGCGTGAATCTTGGAGACTTTGTCGTGAGCTTCCATGCACCAGCAAAGTTTCACAATCTTGGTTCTCCATTTTCCACAATGGCAAATGCAAAGCCGTTGCACCATAGGTGGTGATGACAGGCGCGCTTGTCTATATTGTGCTGGATGCCGCAGTGAACACGTTCAATTGCAGGTTGCCAATAATTAGAATCAATGCATACTGTCAACAACGATGGTTTTTTTCCTCGAGTCAATTGCTCCTTGCTCCACACTCAGCGCACAGATACAGGCACTTACTTCAATGATCGAATGCATGGAACACGTTTTGCAATTCGGCGAAAGAAAACACTGTTGCAAGAGCCATTCAAGATCTATGGTTTACAGTAAAGTTCAACTAGATTCAAATTCAGAAAGCACGCACCCGCAGCTTTAACAAACGGATTCAACCTGCAATGAGAAGGCATGCATGTGCACCGCCAATGCACAACGCACATTCAGCCCAATGCACTGCAGCTGCAGCAAGCAAGTGGCAAAGACAGTCACACAGGCGATCAGTACTTTATTCCGTTCTCCTTTTACCGCTGGGTTCGGGCATGAGGCACGTTATCCGTGCCTCCTTCCACTTCATCTCGAACACAGGCCTCCGACCATGGACCCTCAAGTCGTACAACCTCATCTTGTGGAAAGCGGTGCCCACAGCCACCAGTTTGGACTCTGTCCTCGGCACAAAAGACATGGCGGTCAAGTAGGCGGCGTCCACGTGGTTGTAGGCAGCGTGGGGCTTGGGGGGGCGGCCCTCGAATAGCGACCTCTGGGCCTGCAGGTCCCACACTCGCAGCTCGCTGCCCTCGCCGCCCACCGCCACAAGTCTCTCCTCCTGGTCTACGTTCTGCAAGGAAAATAGCACCAAATTTTCTCTCAATCAGACAGCCAATCAGTCAATCTATCATTCAACGAATAAATCAATCAACAACGCAAGAAACATGACATTCGTGGGGCATCCACTACAGATGATCTCAATGCCGCCACTTGCAGTTGCCTATAGCACACAAGCCAGCACAAAATCGAAGCACAATGAAGACAGAACAGAAACAATGTGGCACTGCTCACCGCACAGTTGATGGCCAGTGCTGCCCCAAAGCTGGCTGTCTCTTTGAGCATGTGACCTCCATCATTGGGATGTTGATGAACTCGCACAACACCACTCCGACAACAGGACAGAATCCGCATCCGTCTGCGTGCCAATGACAATGAAGAGCGAACTGAACACAGGAGGTTCACACCAAAGGCTGCTTCATGATCAGAAGTCCTATCAGCCAACATTTGCACAGATATGGCAATGCAATGGCCTCATCGACACTGCAGATGGCTTTTTCACAGCCCAAGGGCAGAAGGAGAAAGCAGGAAGATGCAATTATGTCCCCACGATGATGAGCATGACATACACTTTCCTGCAGTGCACGTTTCCCTCCAGCGCCCCGACAAAATTGAAAAGTGATGGACTGGGCACAGCTCAAACAGAGGCATCCATCAGGTCATAGTCCTGACCGATGAAAAGGGACAGCCACACACGATCAAAGTCCAGGCGGAAGGGTTCACAGCATCTGCCAATGCCCTGAACATCGAAGGGCAGCATTCTTTTCGCAACAGCTGTAGAGCTGAGGATGGAACAGGGTGGACTGTGGGATGGGGGGTGCAGCAGCAATGTGACTCACGTTGGATGATCCGATGCACCTATGTATTGCAATGTTTTGTTCGATGTTGGGTTCAGAATTTTGTCATCATCCCTTGCGCCATAGCAGTGCAGCAGGCACAAGATAGGATTCTTGCCTGTCCCTGCACAGATGCCAGGCATCTCTCACCCTTCAGCATTCCTCCACAGGGGTTGAATGTGCCTCACACGAGCAGACTCGCTGGACAGGCCCCCGGACCCAGGTCGCCAGGCAGCAGCTTGTCCAAGGACGGCCCCACTGAATGGATCCAGCAGCTCCATGTGTCCGTCCACTCGCGATATGCAAAAGCAAGTGTCCTCTGCATGCCCATGAGCAGCAATAGGCCACATGAACGGAGGGTAGACACAGACAGCACAGAACAGCAGGGAGCAAAGCCACGAATGTTCAGCAGATAAAATCTGCAGTTTGGCACCTGAAGATAGTCTAAAGATGTGCTACCTATAAGACCCTTCAGGTTCAATGCTAATCCATTTCACACAAGGCAGATTAGAACATTTGCAAGTCTGACATTTGCAAGTTTGACATTTGCAAGTCTGAAGCACAGCTCTTGGCTCCCCTGACTTTGCAGGACACTGGCAGAAGCCCTGCAGGTATCGTCACAGGTGGATGCAAAGACTATCCCGGCAGGACACAGTTCGCTTTCCAGTGGTGGCCGTCCCCACCCTTCACCTGTGTCATCGGGTGCCCTCTGTGAGGAGCACAGCACATCGATGCCTTGCTCTCTGTCAGGCTTGCCCCTTGAAACAACAAACAGATTTCTCAGCAAAGGACCGCACTAGCAGAATGCGTGTTTGTGCCACCGTGGGAGATTGCTCCGATGCAGAAAGTTGGAGACTTTGTGTGCAGGCTACCTCATTGCAGTTTAACCTTGCATTCTGCTCGATTGAATGCGAGGGGTATAAAAATACACAGTTGGAATGTCATGTTGAGCGAATCAGCGCTCCAACAACCGATTGCACCATGCTCGACAGTGGAACAACTGCTGAGATATGGTTCCCCCTGGGTTGTCCATTAGCTTGTGTTTTGCTGAAATCTCAGGCGTGCAAACAAAGGGCTGGGCACCTTCGATTTGGAAATGCCATGCTTGCGTTTCCTAAGGACCAGTCCAAACCACGAAAAAATGGCCAAAGTTGCGCAATAAACCTGTCCACAGACCGCCAAATGGCATACCAAGGTCAAAAGTCAAGAATCAAGACAAAGAAACCTTGCCTTGCATTCAGCCACTAAAGGTCGATTCGGGACCCCAGAGCCCGAGCTACCCGCTCTCACGCTTCCCAAACCACCTCAGCGACCACCATCACAGAAAGCCACACTCACCATTTCCCCACGATTTGAGCGTCGTCCCATTTGTCCCCTGCCGGCACCTCGATCACTGCAGCGTGCACGCACAAGGTACAACCGACGCGGCCTCAACTCCCTCTGATTCCATTTGCCGGAACGCGGCAACGCGCCGTCTGGCACCCGACCTGATCCACGACGTGCTCAGAAACATCCACAGGTTCTGTTCGACGACGCTTCCCAATCTCCTCTCGTCCACAGACGACAAGGCAGCGAAGGGGTCAAAAGATCCAACATGACGGCGGTCCATCCAACCGGGGCGTTTAAAAGGGGCTACGGGTCGCGGCGAGTTGGATGTCGAGTGGAGCGTGCGGCCGTCCTGGATTTCGTCGTGTCGCGTGTTCCCCGCGCGGTTTTCCGCCTTTGGCTGCCCGCAGCGCTCACCCCTCAGCGTGCCCAGCTCGTCGGCCGTGGCGACCCTGACGGGCGGGCACGGTGGCGCGGCGTCGCTGGAGCAGCTCGTGTCGCTGTCGTCGGAGTTGGCCATGGGGAGCGCACCCGGGCGGCTGTGCAATGCTTGGCGCATTGACCTCCCGTTAGGCACTGGGCGCCGTTAATCCGCGGGGTCTTCTTTCCGCAGCGTGTTATTGACATTCACCCATGTCAGGTCACTTTTCTGGGAGCAAGGACCACCACCGATGGTCGTCGTTGCTCATTGGTTTTGCCGAGCAGCCGCCATTGTCGCTGCAGGGGCCGCTTCCAGTCCATGAGGAGGTGCCGAGTTGACGATGACCGACTGTGCTTGAATGTGAGGCCTATCTGTTGTCGATCCCCATCGTTTCAAATCAGGAAAGTACACTGATTGGTTGTGCCGTACGGAATGGTCTATCCACAGCCTCCCACAGGAAGGCAGCAACCCGGATGGCCCAGCGGAGTGTCTGCACTTCCTGCTGCGTGCTGGCACGCTGAGTTGCAGTTTTCGGCAACATTGCCAAGTGCAGCCAGCATTGTGATGAGAAATGACACTGAGAGGTGTTCCTCTCAGCTTGCCGGCCAATTGCAGCTGCCAGTGACAAAATCGACATAGATTCACCCCTGAAACATTCGTACATCGACCACGAAGCCACGCCCCGTTTTCGGCTGTGATTCCCAACGTCGCCCCAGAAACTGAGCCTGGCGCCAAAACCGATCCTCGCTGGACACCCGCTCCAACGGCGACGACAGTTGCCTCCTCACATGATCATGGGCTATTTTCCTTCCTTTCCTTTTAGTGTCCAAGTTTCTATGCAGCCACCAAGTGGAAGCCACACCCAGTTCAAGTAATGACGGTGGGTTTGTCCCTCCCAGTGAACTCCTGCAGCTTGGACAGCTGCAGAGCGGTCTTGATGATCGGCGCCAGTGCCTCCTGAGCGTCCATGCCCAGCTTCGAGGCGTCGTCCGAGTACTGCTCAATGTACAGGCGAATGGTTGCCCCAGAGGAGCCCGTGCCTGAGAGTCGGAACACAATCCTGGAGCCGTCCTTGAAGACGAATCGGAGGCCTTGCTTGGAAGCCACGCTGCCGTCCACCGGGTCAGTGTAACAGAAGTCGTCTGCAAAGTCCACCTCGTAGTCGCCAATCTTGGAGCCGGGGGGGCTGGCAGCGATCACCGACCGCACTTGGTCCATGACCTTGTTGGCTGCCGCCGTGTCGCATTGCTCATAGTCGTACCTGTGAATGCATAAGAATTCAATACCGATGTCTTCTGGGTGTGTTGCAGGATGGTGAGTGATGTTTGCTGCATGTACAGACATGTCGACACACCACATTGGAATGCCAGGTGTCCCTCTTGGCATCTGGTACCAATATAGGGATTCGGGGATTCAACGTTTCAGGACTCCGCTGTTGTCATTTGCCCTTTATTTTCAAATGGCTGACTTGTCTGTGCCACTGATTGTTCTGAGACAGAGACAAGGTGGTTGTGCACTTGGGTTCCTCCTCCCAAGATTTTGAGATAGGTTTGACGATCCTTCGATTTCGTGCATCAGGAATTGACCAACCATTTTGTTCCTGAACGTCTGCTAATTTGCCCCTAACCTGGCACATTTAAACAAAGCTTTCTTCCACGTTGTGAGGATGATTGCAGGTTTGCAAGCGCAAACAGAGAATGCACACAGCAGTGCTCCTTTTTTCCCAGGAGGATGCTTTCCACTTCTATCCTTTCACCACCCAGGAAGAGCAATCACTGAACATCCAAACGGGCAAATAGGCGCACTGCAGCCATCATACCACCAGGCTGATTGAATCAGTGATATGGACAATAGCCGCAAGTCAGCCATCAAAATTACTGAGCCAATTACTCAATACTCGGA